GACTGACAGGCGGCAATGATGATGTCGATGATGTCCATGATGATGAAGGGGGGCAAAGGAGGAGGCAGCGGAGGTGGAGGCGGAGGAGGAGCTGCTCCAATTTGACAGTTGCATCGGTTTGGCCTTTTTCCAGCTCCTTACTCTTCAAATCGCCATCCTTGGAACTTCGAACGTGCCAGGAAAGGGTGCTGCCAAAGCCTCAGTTTGATCTTCCAATCAGCGCTGAAGAGCTTCATAGCCAAGTGAGGCCTCGCAGTCCTATGGAAAAGGCCTGTTGAAATGCACAGAAGATATCAAAAGATCAGGTGCAACAACTTTTCTCAAATATAAAAGCACTTGATCTCATTCAACCTTGGGGCAGGTTCTGAAAATCATTGAGGTTCTTTCAGGTGTGTGACTTTTCGTATACATTTTTCATCATTTTTCCACATTATGCCAAACGTAGTCGTCCGTTTGGCTGCATCTCGCATATCCGGCTGGGAAGTGGTGATTGAATTGACCACCGACCACCTGACCTTTGCCGTGCAAACCTGCCTTAAACACTTTACCCACCTTCACAGTCACAAAGAGCAAGCGAATCCTGATCCTGCAGTCCTTTTTGACTGGACGAACGGTGTTGGCTGTCCCATCGAGGTCCCTCATGGGCAAGTTTCATGGAAACTCGCGATATGTTTCTTTTTTTTTCAAGAGCGGATTGGCAAATATGTACGGTTTGTTGTCATAGCTGCTGGGACAATGATGTGCTGCGGGATGAAGCAGACAAATAATATACCACCAGTTATATAGGAGTAGGGTAGCATCACAGTAGTCCGCAGTATTATCCTACTGCTTTTGCAACTCCAACTCCTGTTTTGAACCCTGTAAACTGATGTACATTGGCGAAGACCCTTCTTCAGGCATGGGAAATCCAACTGCAGAGTCTGAGTGGCTTGGCGGAAACTGTCGCAGGGTCGCTGAGGAAACAGGTTGATGTCACTTTTTAGCGTCCTCAGGGTGGTCTTTGTGGGTGGCTTGCCCCGGGAAACCACGGAGGACACGTCGAACTTGAGCTGAGCTGTTCGTTGGACCGTGGGAATGTGGACACTTTGCCAGTGCAGGAAGCCATCACCCTCCATTTCTCCGAGTTCGGTATGGCCAACTCCTGAGAGCAACACTTGCTCAACGGCTGAGCTACTGAGGGGTTTCTGAAACAATGATGATATATGCTGGTTGCTCGGCATTGGCAGGTGCAGAATGTTGAGATGAAGTATGATGTAATGACCAATATGTGGCTTGGAGCAGCCAGCAGCCGATATCAATTGATATGGGTTTGTTGCACCGGTGAAGGGGTTCCCTATTCAAATGCACACCTATATTGGCCCATATCAATGGCTTGCTTTTGGATGTTCTTGGTCGTGCTTCAAGCCTCCGGTCGTCCCTGATCCAGGTTTCGCGGCTTTTGCTTCGTCACATTTGCTTCCGTTGCTGAAGCCCAGGTGTGATATCTGGCTTTTTCGTTTCTTTGTGCTGGGTAAGGGTAGATGGCATCAGGTTAAAAACATGCGATTGCAACCGTACAAAAGGATAGAACTTAGCTTGATAATTAGTGGCTGTTGGTTGATGATCCGTAGGCTGTTCTAGACAACTACGACAACAACATGTTCAATGGCAGCTTGGCTTCAGAAGCTTCTTAGATGATTGCATTGATGATGAGCAAGCTGGTTAGGCAGGTGGATTGACTGCAAGCCAGCAGCAAAGGGAAGGGCACCGTCAAGATCTCAGACCTTGTTGGTTGAAACTACGAGTAGAGGTAGGGTCCATAACCTACAATCTTGTGTGCTTACGAGCAGGTTTGAGGGGATGGTGTAGATGCATCAGCACGAGTGTGTTCAGCCCAAGCCAATGGTGCGTTTTCGCTAACCTTTTTTGGATTGACACAAACAGGTGTTTCCGTTTGCAACTCTTATCCAAGCGAACCATCCGAGGGACCCGTCAGCAGGGCAGCCACCTAAGCAGATACCCTGGGAGAAGGCATTTCCAGCTCGGCAGTTGAATCGCAAGGCCTTGTGTTTTCTGCACAATTGGAGGCTGCTCCACCTCCCACAGGTTCCACGTTGGCCGCCTACGTGTGTGTAATGACAACACTTGAACATTTGATATACTGTATCCTGCCTGTGGTGGTGCAGGGCTCTGCCAATCTCAATTGCAGAACTGCAGCATCTCAGGCTTCGTGCTCGAGGTTTGCCCTTCTCCGCCACCAAAGAGCAGGCACGAAGAAACATCTACTAATCCCAATCATTTTTGCAAAGGCTTGTGATGAGGGGCCTTTCTTACCGCAGGTGGAGGAGTTCTTTGCAGGCTATGGCATGCCAAGAGCCTAGGGCACAAACAAAAGTGTGTTGACACAGTCATGATCCTTCGCTGCAAGGACTGGCAGATATCACAGCCGGCTCGACTATATGGGCCGCCCAACGGGAGAAGTATTTGTGGAGTTCTTCAACAACGATGAGGCTCCGTTTGATGCTAACCAACAACTCCTTGTGACACTTGCCGTTTTTCGCCTGCGATATTCATTCTGTTCAGAGGCTGTCAGAGCATTCAACGATCGTAACTTCCAAATGATGGGCAACCGATATGTCGAGTCAACAGCCAAGATCGCTGATTGAACAACCAGAAGTTGGGCGCACCGTTTTAGCTCAGCAACTTTCTGATTTGGCTTCTTGTTAGCAGCACTTTCTAAGGCTCTTAGGCGCCAGTGACAAGGACGTTCAAATGTGCCCCACGCAGTGAGGGGAGCTCGCTCAGATACGCAGAATCAGTTGCGAAGTCGGCCAGGTACCTTGACAACAACGGAAAAGGAGCTCCAATCACTTATGGTCCCATGAAAGGAGGCAAATCTGTCATGACGTGATGTATTACGTGATGTATTACTTACTGTCTTACTGTAATAATTAGTGATGATGTGGCGTCCAGGGTTTTCCATTGCCAATCATGCAGGCAAGGGCTTCAAGGGATCATCGCCATACGACATGATGCAACCTGGCTGCCTAGGTGACATAGTCACACAGCAGCAAAGGTAGCCCACCTTGAAGTAGCATGTTTGCGCAGGTAGCCCACCTTGTAATCAATGTCAATGATAGTCCCATCTTCAAGCAATTGTACTGCTCGAGAGTGTTCGCATGTACGGAGGCATCTTATGTACCTACACCAAAGCAAACTCCATACGACCTTTCTGTGAGCACAGGTTTCTGTGGGATATATATATATATATATAGAGGCAGATTTTTGCAATCTTTTCTGGAGCCACTCAGGTGGGCTCTCTTTGGCGGCTACTAAACCGCACGGTTCCAGTGAGGTGGGACCTTGGCTCACCTATGTAGATCAAGCCTTTCTTACTTTCTCCGTTTCATGATTTGTATCATTCGATTGATGTACTAAAGCTTTTTGCCGGACTTCTTTGCACCTTTGAGTTTCCCAAATTCACATCTCTTTGAATGAGTGTTTCTTGTAGTGCTTTTTGGTAAATGCTGGCGTGAAGCGCCCCATGTTGAACCCTTGCAGCTGTGAGGCGAGTGAGCAATATGTTAAAAGATCCGCTGGTTGGCGATGTGTTGGTGGTGTGGCTCTAACCCGGTCCAGCCAGTTTCTGGTTGGCATTGTGTCATTGCTCAACAAATGCAAACCAAGAAATGTATGGCGCCTCGGCAAGTAAGCTCCCAATGGCAGGAAGTTTAGCTGACATTGGCTCCCGATTGCTGCACAATTGGTTGGAATTCATTGGCTCCAGGCTTCTTATAAAAGCTCGGCATGTTTAGCCGATTGCCCACATGTGAATGGCTTCGAGCACACAACAGGGTCAAGCTTCAAGGCTTACACAAACAAACCAGTTAAAACCATGGAGCATGGGAGCACACATACAGCATACATGTAATATCACAATACCTTCAACTGTTGCTTTTGAAGCAAGAGCAGGGTTAACACAGTTCAGCTGGAGAGAGTCCACAGTCTGCAGAAATGTCCAAAGGCCAGGTGCAGTTCCACAAAGAACCGCATTCCACGGAATAGATCATATCAAAGAGCTTCATTTTTGAGGTGGATGGGGCGTCGTGCGCCCAGATACGCATGCAGCAAAGAGATTCCATTCACATTTTGGTTGGTGAAACTCTATGGCCGTAGGGAAGACGTGAATTTGGAGTTAACTCCAGGTGAAGTGTTAACTCCAACCCAAGATCGGCCGTTTGCACTGCAGGGCTACGATGACTACAGCTGGATGTCCAAGGGCAAAGGCTCTGGCAAGGACTTTGGAAAGGCACCACGGCACTGAAATCCATGCTTGAGACATTTGGAGACCCAAAGTGCGGGCAGTCCGGACTGACAGGCGGCAATGATGATGTCGATGATGTCCATGATGATGAA